CGGCACGATGAATGCCCAGGAGGGTTAATCCTATTGGACTCCCACTGCTGATCTTGAACGAAGTAGCCTTTCTCCTTTGTACTGTTTCTTCCTGGAATGATTTGATTGCTCTTTAGAGCAGGAAATTTTCTTGAACAATTTGATGTCTTTATTCCAGACAATTCACGTTATTAATACTCTAATACTAAAATGTATGGAAAATTAGAAAACTAGAGCAATATGGGACCTTGTATTGATTTACCCAAAAATGTTCTTTCACTGGTACGAAATGAGATATTAAGGCTGAAAGGCATGAAATTAAGTTTTTTTTAAGTGTTCTAAAAATCAGATTTGCTTTTCCTTTTTAGGGGACCGGAACAAATGAAGATGCCTTGATTGAGATCTTAACCACTAGGACCAGCAGGCAAATGAAGGCGATCTCACAAGCCTACTACACAGGTGACCGCTTACCTTTACCGCTGTTCGCACATATACGGGCCACGCCGCTGTTCCTGGAACCCCCTCAATCTCGTCCTCACAAGGCATTTTGAGAAGGCAAGACTTACAGAAAGGAGGACACATTCTAAAACGGGCTAAAGACTGTGGGTCTTCAGGAAAAATTAGAATATGCTCTGAACTAGCAACTTCTACCTAACAATGGCATTAAGTTTTCACGTTTACTACCGCTCCAGTGGCTTTTGCTCTCAGCAATCACTGCTTAATTGAATTAACCGTTTTCATTGATGCAAAAGACTCAAATTATAGCACGTTATTATCATAGGTTAAAAGCCGCTCAGATCAGACTCGTGATTTCTGGCGTGGGGAGTTAGATGAGGCACTCGGAGGATGTGGATTCGATATAATTAGCGAAAGACCTGCTACGGGTCTGTTAGCTGTGTAAAGATTAGCAAGTTCCTAGGTGCAGTTCTCACCGTGCCGGGGTTAGTGTGGCTTCACAGGTTAGGGTCACCGTACTCGCGAGGCTGCCATTGCTCCAGACACCAACCCACCAGCCCAGGTGTTCCCGGCGACACGCGCTTTTAGCCAACTAGCTGCAAATTCAGGGTTCTCACCGCCCTCTCAGGTTTGATAGCTCGCTGGGGTGGCTCACAGAACTCAAGAAAGCGCTAAATTCAGGCCGGGCGCGGTGGCTCACGCCTGTAATCCTAGCTCTCTGGGAGGCTGAGGCGGGTGGATTGTTTGAGCTCAGGAGCTCGAGACCAGCCTGAGCAAGGGTGAGACCCCGTCTCTACTAAAAATACAAAGAAATTAATCGGACAACTAAAAATACATAGAAAAAATTAGCCGGGCATGGTGGCGCATGCCTGTAGT